TTGTTACTATATATGCGCCTACGCAAAAATGCATTTGAAAGGAATAGAGAACAAGGAACTTTGCCTTCTCATATAGATTCATTTCATTCGCACCGGAAGCTTTACTGGGACCAATAAAACTATTTTGTAAGTCTGCGTATTTTTTTTTTTTTTTTTTTTTGCTGATGACGATCTTAATCTTAAGAACTCTATATTTATGATATATATTATAAATTAACGACTCAACCTATAGAGTACAAAATATGTGACTTGATCTCAGAAATAGAAAATTAATTACTTTTGTGTTTCCGAAAGAGCACGGCGTTAATCTTTTGAACAATGTCATTGAATGACACATTTAAGGAATCTTAACGAAGGACAGATTTATTTACATGAAAAATAGTCTGAAGTTATTTTTAGAAAATTGATTTATCTATAATTATCGTATTGATTTTCTCGTCGAACATACGCACGTGGCAACGACAATCGTCCAATTAATGGAAAGCATTTATTTTATCCGAAGATTTTTATAAACGAATTTTAAATAAATGAAATAATTTGAATATATATGAAAAAAAGAAGAATTTGAAAACATGCCATAATAATTACGAACGTCATAACAACATTCGATTTCTTTCTTTTTCTACAATATTTCTACTTTTGTAACTCGGTGTTGTATATTTCGAATGACTGACGCGGGGAATATGCGCGTTTCTTTATTCTCTCGAGGACGATACATCGCTATTATTTAATTAACTAATTTATATTACTCGTAAGATTCTTTACGATTTTTTTTGCTTCTATGATGCAACAACGAAATATATCTGTTTTATTTTTTATATGTACATTCGTTTATGTTTCTCTACGATCTAACGCGTAGTTAAATACAATTTACTTGAAAATTTGTCGAATTTAGATCTTACGCGATCTGTTTAGCGTTTTATTTTAACAATCTCCCTTTAACTGCGATTTTGGCAATCCAATGTATATTAACGGTTAACGGTTTAAAGATAGAGAGGCAATACCATATACTATCACGGATAGTTAAGTTACATGTAATAATGCGTTCAAATTCTTTACAATATGTACCTTGCAATAACAATAAGTTTGATATTAAAACCTGTCTTACCTTCATTTCTTTTTCATCCAGCTCCTCGTGCAACATGAAAAACTTGTATCTTTTCTGATAAAAGATTTTGCAGATATTTATAATACTAGCGTTTCACAATTTGGATTAGTTTTAAAGGATTGATTTTTTGAGAAATATGAAGTTAATTTCTCTTTGGAATTTAAGTTTTAAGATAAATTTTAAGATAATTTTTGATGTAATTTTATTTACATTGTTAAAAAAAGCAAATTAATGTTTGAAATTAAGAAATCAAACAAGTCATATATTTTAAAAGTAAATATGCAACACAAAAATAATTTAAAGCAAATTTTATGAAAAAAATCTTATTCTAGGTGCGAAAAGTTAACGAAATATTATATATGATATCTGTAATTAAACAGATAATTATTTTGAATTCTTCGTCATGAGATTGATTCTAAACTTAAGTCAAGCTAAGGTATTTGGAGAATATTTTACGAGAGATATTCTCACACGTGTCTTCGTAATTATTCTTGTATTTTTTCCATCCATTATAATAATGTCCGAAAGACATATAATGCAGAATTCTGAAATTATTAATTTATCTCCCTCTACCTCTGCCACGATTAAAACCTCCTCTACCTCGGCCGGATACTTTTCCTTTAGGCGGTGGCGATTTTGGTCTAAGCGCCTCTATCCTCTCGGTGCAACCCGTGGTGATCTGTCCATTGACGAAATAACTTTGATAAAGGTCCGCATTAAAGTTCGTGTTTGTCAGTTCTGGACCGACGGTTAGCCAACCGGGTCTGATAGTACTATCGCGACCGAAGAGGTGTAACCTAAACAGAACGACAGACGCGATATTTTCCATGAAAAACAGAAAAGTATAAAAGAGGAAAAGAATTCAAAGTTATCTTTTTTAAAGGTTAAATAACAATAATGAATTTCTAGTTTATATTAGAGAGATGTGAATTCTGAAGTTTAATGTACTTTGTAGACAACTGTTATCATATATTTGCGTACCTTCTTCGGCCGAGACAAAAGTGTTCGATGATATGAAAGATCTCTACAGGTTTTTCGATGGATCCGTAGTCGGGCTCCTCCGATATGATGAGATCGATGTCGACATTTGCGTGAATAAAATCACCGTCAGTGGATCGTCGTACCGTACCCTTAATACCCATCAGGCAGTGCTCCTTCGTCCTTTGCAGCACCGCTTTGCTGTCCAAATTTTTGCTGTGTCCCGGATTATTGATGTTTGTACGAATCCAGCAGATATCCTCGCAACGCCGGAAACCCCACTTGCGCAGGCAAAACCGTCCCATGTCCAGGCCGTCGCTGCTACCGCACCAAAGAAACACAAAGCTCCGATTGGCAGCCACCTCACCAATATCGAGCTCCATTATCTGCACGGACAAACGGGAATAAAGCGAATGAGAAAATTATTGATATTTTAATGATAAAAAATTATTAATCTTTCTATGACTAAACTCAAGATGGGAAACTGAAATTACAGATAGTCTGAAACTGAATCATTTTTAGCATCTATGATCTGTTTATTATTGTGAAAGAAATTATTTATTACTGCATTATTTTTCGCTGTAAATATCAGAAAAGTCGAGAGATATATTTTTCAAAATTATATTTTTAATTATATTGCAAAAAAATACTTTGAAAGAAAAGTGCGTATGATTAAGAAAATATGATTGTGTGAGACTAACTTGGTCCCAATTCCAAAGCTGCACATTGGTCGCGCCGCACGTTCTTTGATATTCTTCCAGAGGTGGCTCTATAAGAATGACATCAAATTTACAATTGAGCTCTTTCAAGTTATACGACAGCAGGTCTGTTTTTAGATACATTGGCGGAGTCGCGGTTTCCGCGATTAGATCATCCTTCAGTTTGATCAGCTCGCGCAGCTTTGGATATTCCTCGAATCTATCTGCCAGACCCACGTCCCTGATAAAGTTTTGTGGCCGTTGGCCAGTATCAATGAAGTGCTGACAGTAATCATTGTGTGGATTTGACGATTGTGTTCCCTTTAAATATACAAGTAGGGTTTTAAATGTAAAATATTTTAGCAATAAATATTCGCACACAATTTATATTAATAAGGATAAATACTTTTAAGAATGTCGAAGAATCCTTGTACACAATCTCATCTGTTGGAGCAGCGTCATCTTTCAGATCCTTGATTGCACTGTCGGATTTATCATTAGACAGTCTGCCTCTCTTTTTTTGTGTATCCTCCACATCTGTTCCCAAAATTTGTCGCAATTCATCCACACTCGAAACTCCCAGCTGCAAACGAAAAAAATAAACAAATACATTAGAATACATCATCTACCTTATATAAATCTAACCTAAAAATGCAACCGACTATCGCTATTTTTCCAAAGCAAGTTCTCACCGTTTGAGCCAAGAGTTTCTTGCGTTTCTGAGAACGTTCCCAACGAGCTTGCAGCATCTTTTACATCCTCATTTGCGATACGTCATAAATGTAAACATATTCTGTAGATTCCAATTCGTTTTGCTCAGAATTATATTAATCTCGTGCAAAAAAGAAAAAAATAACTTGAAAACTGGATGAACGTGCAAAACGTAATTCGTTCTTCTCACGAAGAGACTATTGTAACTTCGATTATTATTTACACACACAATGCAATTTTGTTTAACCAGAAAGAAACTTCATCTCTGATATATTCCTTTTATTTGTTCTTTGTAGAACACAATGGCTTTTTTCTCCCTGTTTCCTTTTGTTCAATATTTTATTTCAGTTTTCACAAAAATCTTGAGGAATTGTCAATGTTTGTGATGCACTATTTAACCTCTTATCAGATGCCGACATGTATCAGCTGATACGACGTGATTACAGCAAAATCGTCAAAACGTCAGTTGCAACAATCGAGGTTACGTCGACGATTAGTTGTATCGGTAATGACGATTGCTGCATTTACCACGTCGCATCAATGTTATGTCATGAAATGTGAATAAAATTATCTACATATATAGACTATAAAAAATATCTAAGATTATGCAAATTAAGATAAAGAATATGGAATGATTTATAAAAATCAAAAAAATCTACTAATGATTTATATCTTCGATATGATCGATCAGTATAAGAGAGAAAGATGCTGAATACCAAGAATAATATAGTGTTCTGAATTTTTAACATAAAATATCTAAAACAATCCTGAAAGTTGTAGATCTTTCTAATGTCTTCTTGTGTTACAGAAAAATTGATATTTAAAATTTATAAAAAGATCTATAATAAAAGTATATAAAAAATTTGACATACTGGTATATATATATATATATATATATATATATACAGAAACAAATCTAGAAGTATTTTAAATAGAATGTTTTAAATTATTCGTATATTCACGCAAACTCTAAATGGATTGGCTTTTACTTCTTGTTTAAATATTTATGCGGCTACGATAGAAGTTCCGGACAGATTTCGTGTGTAACATAGTTGTATCAAGCAATTACTGGTGCACTTGCGAGATACACAGGTGTTACGTTGAAGCATAGGATAAGAGAAAAAAAAACACTATCGGTTTAAATTTTCTTTGAATTATGTACTTCTTTTTTGTTTTATTTTTTGTTCTATTTTTTATTGTATATATATAGTATAACGAAAGGGGATTAAATATTACATATACAGAATTCTCTCCCTATAAATCTATCTGCTATCTGACTTGAGAAAAAACTGTCGTGTAAAAAAGAATCGTTGTATTTATATATTATCCTCTCTACAAATTTGTTTATTCTGTCCATCATTATTCAATTCGTAATTAAAGAGGAAAATATTCTAGCAACCTCATCAACCAACTTAACTGTTATTTCTCGATTACATTATGTCATATTATTAAATCCACGAGTTGCGAATTATTGAAACAAAAAACAGAAACTTATCATGCTCTCTTCCCGTCCACAGACACACGTCATTTCTGCTTTTAGATAAAATTAATTTTTAGGAAATAAATTTTTTTTATGCGTTGCTTATAATAAGATTGCAACATTTATCACGTATGTTATATATATATCACGTTATATGACACATGGTTTGATAAATACTTGTGAAACGAACGCATCTTCTTCTTCTCTCTCATCTTCTCTTTCGAGGAAATGCAGAAGAAATCGCGCAGTAAAAAAAAGAGGTAAGATCATATGGAACTGACAGTTCAATGAAAAAGAAGATGCAAAATCAGACGTAGGAATGTCAAACGACGGAGTCCACAAAAAGGAACTATCAGCGTGTAATTGGAAAGAAAATATATACACGACTAAATAAAGAAATTGGAAAGAGAATCTCCTATATATCTCGGCTATGTGGGAAGAAAGAGTGATACATCGAGTGGATGTCTCCTAATAAAGACAGATATTCATCGAGGAAGAGGAAGAGAAAAAAAAAGTCTAGAAACCAACGACGTGTATCAGAAAAAGAAACGAGAGCATTCGAGAGAAGGGATTAGCAGCGCTCGGTGGAAGAGCGAGATGCAATCGGGCGAAGAAACTAGCGGCGACAGGACGACGTTTGCTAGGAAAACGAGGGAGGGTCCACTGACGTCGTCGTCGCGAATGCAGCGTACGGTGCAGCTGACTTTCCGTTCTCGCGTGGGTGAACGTCAGTCGGCTTTCAAATTGACGCGTGATCGGTACACGTGGCTATTCCGCTCTTTCCACCGGCGCCGATCGGTGCGCATGGATTACGTCAAAAAGGTAAGTGCAAAGATACATATTTCTGATATATCGAACATTTTCTCTGTATAATTTTATTTCGTTAATATTAAAAAGATTTTACGACTGAAGATTAAATAAGATCAAATATCCAGACTATATGCATATTTCTATAAAAAAAGAAATTAATTTTTGTAAAATCTTATACAGAAATTATATTAATGTGTGAATAATCGTAGCACTAGATTTACATTAGTTTTTTACAGTTAGTTAATTACGAAGGCTTCAAAGATCAGTTAAAAGAAAAAAATCTTCGCCCCTTTCATCCTGATTAATCAATTAAATAATCCGAAGTATTTGTAACAGTTATCAAAAAAAAATTTAATTACTTTCTTTCCTTAAAATTATAATTATATGTTATAATCGTGTGTATACAGGATTGTCGCGAATAAAGTTCTATAATAAAGTTTAGAATTAATCACGAAGAGAGAAAGGATATTTCAGGAACGTTGAATATTTCTATGAAAGAGGAATGAATTATTTTCTTTTGATCAAAGAATTTATATATGTAAATGTATATATTTTACAATACGAAAATACACGGCTTATTTTCTTATCACCGAAGATTACTTCCTATATATCTATGAAAAATCTTTGTCGTCAATCTCTTGCTCTATACACATGCGTCACGTTCAAACGATCGACAGACTGTCAATCTGGAAAATTTCATCTAACGTAAGGAGCGCGGATACACGCGCCCTTGAACTTCCTCCGCGATTCCGCTCCTGACTTTCGTCATCATAAGCGCGAAATCATTCGAAAATGAATTCGGCACGTCGGACGTGTAATACACGCTGTTCGCCGACACGTGGCTAGGAAAACAATTTTTTGCTGGCGTTCTCCGATGAAGGTCTCGGCTATACATATATGTGTGTGTGTGTGTGTGTGTGTGTGTGTGTACATATACATATATACTATATATATATATATATACACACACATACACACGTATATTATACACCTATACGTTCGGTAGCGAGGCGCCGATGCGAGGAGCCCTCCTGAGCGGAGAGATGGCACGATGATAAAAACCGGGTGAATCGTCCGGTATTTGCGTCGCGATTGGTCGCCGCCCCGCGGCCGGGTGCTTACCCCGAAATTCGGCCCGGATTCCAAGAAACGAATTGCCGGGCCCCCTTGCACCCCGCGACCCAGGTAACTCCCCTTTTACCACTGCCATTACTTTGTTTACACCGCACACCGCGCCGCCATCGTTCGCTCGCTCGCTCACTCGTGCCGATTACACAGGCCGGTTACAGCGCTGCCGCCGATCGAGTTGGACGGCAGCAGCGACGAGGACGAGGACCAGACCCGGGACGAAGAGACAGAGACCCACCGGCGGGACCAGAACCAGGCCCCGCGACACCACACCACCCGTCCCGATAACTCGATAGACAACAGTATAATCGTCGTCGTGCAGGTCAGTTTGGGATTCCTGGGCGACAGTGAGATGTGTGAAGTGCCTTTTTCTTCCATCAAGTACATACTACCTACCTAGGTCTACCTAGGTATCTACATTTAGTTATTTTCTGCAACGAGAGAAATCGCACGCCCCTACTCAGTACTCAGATACATTTTTTTGAAGTATACTTATGTCTGTCTCTAGGTGTTTTGTTTGTTAAGATGTAGCTACTCCTCTATTTCAAATCAACAGTTCAGTGACGTGATGTTATTCTTTCTAAACGCAATATTTCCCACAGTTTATATGTTTGACCTGATACCGTTAGTTCGTACTTAACAATACAACGTTATCGATATCCATATATATTTTGAAATTATACGAAAATAAAGAATATTCAAGTATCTAGGCGTTAAAAATGAAATATCTTCTATAATTAGTGGGCATTTTTAATTAGGAGCATGATATATATCTTCGATAGATAAAAAAACATTATTTTCTTCTCATTTCTTCCCGGAGTTTAAGATTCCGGGAAGAACCGAAGAGGAAGTAATAATTTTTCGAGCTCTGTCGATGTTTTCTCATTTTTTCAACTTTCGAATTCGAGAAAAATAACAATATAATAGCAATAACACTTTGTGTGACATATTAAATTATTATTTAAATATTATATTAATATATCTCATAATTAAGGGGATTTATTTAGAGATCATAGTTCATTTAATGATCATCGAACTCGTCAGATTAATTTGTGCCTTTCTGTAGAGTATAAAATTACGTCTACGTGACTCGTCGCGATTGGTATTGCCTATACGTGATGTTTACCTTTTTTTTTTCATATAGATTATGAACCATGCAGAAGCAAACAAACCGTTGGTTTTGCTCGGAATAATGAAGGAATTTCGGCGAATTTGCTGCATACGGAAGAAAATGTTAAATTTTATAAGCGAATAAAAAGTTTATAAATAATAGCATAATTCAGTTCGCTTTCTCCGAATAGAACTTTTACTCGGCAGATAGGACGAGCTATTATAGACACCATGAGAAATTCTTACGCGTGTAACTTATGCGCCGAAGAGACAGTTCACGTGATTCTGATTATCGTGATTCGTGTGATTCTGATTAAATTATCGTGGCGTGCACGTGGGCATGGACAATACGTGATCGCATCTTTTCGCGGATAATCGAAAATCGCGTTTCCACCCCAAGAACGACATTCGAACGAACTCGAACGCGCGCGTCGATGATAGATTCGCGATTGTAAAACGATAATTCGAAATCTCTGCCTTTCGCAAAAGATCCATCCAGCGCAATATTAACGAAAACATAATTTAATTGATACGTGATGTATATATGGGTGTTTGTGTGTATATACGGCGCTCTACCAAGATATTCCTTTGCATAGAATACCGTCAATTTGGCGACAGTACTCCTGCCGATCGGTTTAATTCTTTCAGACGGATACAGAACGAATGAAATGTGCAACATTTAGTTTCTATTTCGAGCATCTTTGCTATGTTGGCAGCGTCGCGACGTGGGTGAGGTAGGCGGAGGTCGCGACGAACGCGTCGCTCGTCGAACGGCAGGATGAGACCTGACGAGATGGTGGTGAATAACGGCGAACAACGGCGGGCAGCGGAGACGATGTCGGAGACATCGGAGGGCACCGCGACCACCAGCGTGTCCGGCAAGTCCGGCTTCGAAAGCCGCGAGGATCTCCGCGATCTCGCGACCATGCTGGGCATCGGCGACGAGGACTTGCACCAGGAACGCTTTCGGGTGGACCGTCGCAAACTGGAACAGATGCTTCTCGGTGAGTGGCGGCGTGGGCGCTGCTTTAAATTAATTTGTTTCGCTGAATCGCGGATTGCGCGGATATTTTATAGGATAACAGTGTGTACATAAAATTATCCCGTCTTAGCAGCAAGTTTAATATAAAAGAGTTGATGATAAAAGAGAATTATCTTTAGTGATAAAAGAGAAATTATATAGAAAGAATTAAATTATAAATATAAATTATAAATCTCCTAAAGTGTAGATCTTGAAGTATATAAATTATATTCCCTAAGAAAAGATAAATCGATTATATGATAATATGATTACATGAAATAGCATGTGACATTGATAGAAAGCAGATTTAGTTGAATAGATCATCATAAAGAATTTGATTGACTTAAATACGTTATAGAAAATATACTAAGGATCAATCGAATCTATTTATCGTGGCGTTGTATATAGTGTGTCCGATGACTATCGCACTTTCTCCTGACCACGAATATTATATCAGATTACGAGAGAAGGCGTAGGGAAACCGGGGGCGAAGAGGGGGTTATCAAAGAAAGTAGAGATATTTAAAAAATAATCAGGCATCGCACAACTTTAAGTCGAGTAGAACGACTTTTTTCAATTGCGCCTATTAAAGATATCGGTGAATTACGAAGATAAAAACATGATATTATTTTTTCGAACAAACTTAAAATTAATAAATTTGTCGCATGCATATATATTCTAATTTATTTTAGTACTCATTATTTTTATTACGTCTCTTAATTTTTCTAATACGAGGATTTAATCTCGACCTCGCATGATCGCTACCGTACACAGCGTTAAATTACACACCGCACGAGCCACGGTCCCGACAATAACTTTGCCGTTATGTATTTCACGCTTAACCTTTCCTCGTTCTCGATATACACTAGACACTCCAGTGTCCTTTATTGCTTTATTGCTTCTGTAGTGTCCATAACACTCGAGAAGCGGAACGACTCTCCGCGTGCGCGGTGTCTACTTTCGCTTTCCCGTCGAACTCGATTCCTTTTCGTCACCTTTTTGCGCAGGCGAAAGCGAAAAATTTTCCGACCAATCAAACAATAAAAATACCACAATCTCAAGAATATTGAGAAAATCTTTAAACATTTTTTTGTTAATAATTTTATCGTCTATTTTATTCGATAAGCAATTAATTCGATAAAAACTAAAATTTAAGTTTGCAAGATTACTGTTTTTATACTATTATTATCTAATCAATACAAAGGCCTAAAAGTAATTTGGAAAAGTAGAACGTGTTTCCAACTATGCTTTTTATATATCGATTTTCATGCCAAACTTTGAAAGCTTTTATTTTAAATCGCAACATGTTCTTTTTATCATAATAGTATTTTATTGATTTTTATTGGAATATCAATTCTCAATCAATTTGCCTTAGATTATTCCAAGAAGCGTGGTAGTGGTTTCTTCTGATCGTCCGTTTTATTGCTGCTATTTGCATATGCGAAATATATCTAGAATCACGATTTAAATAGACAGTTTGTTTGTAAACGGGATTACATGGCATCTGTCAAGTCTCTGTTTTTGTGCCTTATAATATCACTCGGTCGATCGCGATTTAACGGCATGTAAATCTATTTTGCTTATCGAATACGCAAACTTCTAGCAATTTTCATGATTTTATATCAAAGCATGGAACGGGAATATATGCGATTATCTAAATTATCTAGCGAATTTTTGAGGCTAGAATTTTTTACATGAAAATATAATAAAATAGAAATAAATAAAGATATAGATAAAGAAATATTACACACACACATTTTCAAGCTTGAAAGGTCATTTTATATTTTAATTTTATCTTTAAATTTGCAGGTGATGTCAAACCGGCGGATTCTTTCTTCCATAGTGTAAGTTCCTTTTTCGTTTCAATCATTTTAGACGCAAAGTATTTTTGTGTGTGTTCAAGAGTATATAAATCAATTTGTAAAATTAATATATTTCATAGAATTCTCTCTCTTTCTCTTTCTTTCTTCTCTCTCTCTATATATGTGTGTATTTCTTAGGCTTAAATGTTCAAATTCCTGACTCTTCTGCAACTTTTGTGATCAGCAATTTTTTGATATAAAAAAAAAAAGAAAGAGAAAGATATAATGAAGATTAATAATTTCTTTCTTAATTTCGTTATCATTATTGTATGTTCAATAATAACCTTAACAGGCGTTAAGAGAAATATCACATGAACTGACATTTCATTGATTTTGATATTTGCTTGCTTAACCTTCCGCATGAAAAGATTTTATCGCGAAGATTTCATTGATCGATTAGTGAGAACTTTCTACCCAACTACTGCTGACAAGCGACACGTAAGACAAATCGTGATAGCAGATGATGCAACTCCTTTCTCTTGGCTACAAAAGATTTTTCTTGATGTAAAATCGGTTAAAGTTTCTTGTCATCCATGCGAATTATTTGTATGGATTCTATTTTATCAAAATGCATAATGGTGCTTAATAAATATATTTTTTAAAACAAATAAAGATAAATTAAAAAGAAAAAAAATTAATAAATTGGTTATATAATTAATTATAAAATAAATCTTTAAAAAAATCTGTGATTTTTATAACGCAACTCCATGTCGAATTTATGAGAGACATTTAGTTGGAATAATATATTTCAAGCAATTAACTATTTTTTTGCTTTATATGTTATTTTTCACTCGCTTTACTTTAATTGCTGTAGTAAATCGCCGGCGCATTACTCGACTTGAAAAAAAGAAACATTGCCTCATTATCATATTTAAATTATATGGATACTGAAGGAATTACAAATAATATATATAATTTCTGTAACTTTCACTCTGTAGGAAGTAAATGTAGAAACGTACGATTATGATAAGTGATTCTTCATTTAATTGCCACATAAGAATTACTTCCGACACGAAGTCGGATTTCGTGACGGCTATCAGACAACGAAATTAAGTTTCTCCCTTTTCACATCTATGAGAGAGAATTCTATGATTTCTGCCAAGAGAATGGAAATTTTGCCTCATGGTATGTTGATATGACACAAAAGGGTTAAAGAAATTATCATGATTAACTCGGCCGATTTCGCTAATCGCGCTTAAAGTTATATCGACGCAGGCAAACCGTCTCCTCATCGAGGCAGCGTCGCACTGACCTTGCGATTATGCGAAAGTGAAAGAGGCTATTTTTACGTATCCTCACCTCTTGCGTCGCAACTCGCGATAACTTGCGTTACGTCGTACGAACTGCGATTGCTCACGATTCTTTCGCTGATAGCAGCAATACACAAACTTTTCTTTTGATTTTGGATATTTCGACAATCCAATCATCGAATGCAATTTTTTGCACAGAGTTGTGTCTCATGATTATAAAACTTGCTTCAATTAATAATTCGATTCTTTCTCATTTAATCTTTTGCAATGTGTCTAATTTTTTTGTGATTATATACTGATAGTAAAATAGGAGAAAATTATGGTAATAAATTGCAAAGGGAAAAAGTTTTATAAATACAATAGAAATATAAGAAATATAAAATATAAGAAGTTACAAATCCTATGTATATATTTATACCAAAGGATTAGAGAATTACAAATCAAGTTTCTTTAATCAAAATCGATGAAGATACTAATTGTAAGACATTTGTTATCCAAATCAAAACATTAAAACGACCGTCGAAATGAAAATTAGGTAACCCTTTTTGCGGAAGAATCGGTAGCAATCAATTCCCCGAGCGCGATGATGAAAACGCATGAAAAAAATCTGGATTACGACGTGGAGAAATTTGAGTGAGCGCGCAAAGGAACTCGTTCTCTCCTTCGTCTTCCTCTTCGTCATGTGTGATAACGTAACTCGAAATTACGATCAAAGCGAAATGAACCTGCAGCAGGAAGTTTACGGATCGGACGTAACACTATATACTTTCTCCGTCTACTCTTCTTGTCTTTCTCGTTCACCCGATAAGTCGATAGAGATAACCGATTGGCGAATCGTGCTTGATTCTCGCATAAATGAGAGGTATGATTGAGGAATCGCGTAATCGCACTAACAGGAAGTGTCTCGACGATTGAATAATACATTTTTTATCTAATTAAACTCAAATTAAATATGAGAGAAGAGTGTTCGAAGTTGTAAGATGGAATAATTTTGATGAAATTGTTAGATTTACACATCAATGATATATAAAAATTTAATCATAATTATAATAAATATATATCGCATAATTCTTATGATTTTAAGCCTCACTTAATTATAAGTAATATTGATATTATATTTTCATTCCTATTTCAAATTTTACAATTGAATTTAATAATTTATATACAAATAATCCTGCTAAACTACCTTTTTAATATTAATTATCAAAAAGGGAGATATATTTACTGAATGAAATTATTCAGCAGATGAAGAATTTCAATGTATTGTCAAAAAATCGGATAAGAAAAGAGCTAAAATTTTACGGGAAAGTCGCGCGCGTTGAAGAAACGCGAGCATTCCGCGTGTGGTCTGCGGTGGCTTATAGCGTTGACCGAGCAAGTTCGAAGGCAATGTTCGCGCTTATCCTTATCGTTGCTGCAAGTTGCGTAAGGGGGAGGAACTGGAAATACATGGGTCGATTATTTATAGAGCGGCTTTAACGGCACCGCGTTCTTCCCGCCGTTCCATTCCTCCGCTTTTAAGTAATTACATATCGCTATATATGCCAACATAGCCGATATTATCGCCGATATATATGAAGATTTTTCCGAACAAGTGTTATATAGAATAACGCATTTCAAATGATTACGTTGTTTCCTATCTCTTTTTTTTTTATGATACGTACGTTAATTATAATGCCACAGTATAATCATTGACCCCGCTGCTGGCTCTTGATAACAATAAGCGAGATATCACATGCTGTTAGTCGTATTTTCACTAATTAACGCCTATGTACATATTGCCTCTCCGGTGAGCTAAGGTAGACGTATTGATTTTGTGACATGCTGCAAATAGCTCGAAATTTTTAAGTATTCAGGAATAGTATATATATAATCGCCGAAATTTTTTTGAATTAATTAATTCATTGATGTCAATTTTTATTTAAAATCTGTCTCAAATATATAATGATTCAAAAAAATGTCAACGATTACTATAGATAAAAATAAACGCACAAAAAAATTCAAGTATGCTGCATATTCTTCTGCATGAAATTCGCGAAATATATTTAATCAATGCACATCGATGCTATAGCTCGCGATTTGTTTATCAGCTCGATATCCGTCCCTTTTATCGCTTGAATAATAATTTAAGCGTGCATTCCCGCACTTTTTTTTATTTATATTTTCGCAAAGTTTAATCTAGTATACATGTGCACAAACATACGTTTACACGGAATATCATATAACTCACAATCTTCAGTCGAGCAACCCTTCGATATTGATTCGTCGATTTAAATTTGCAATTCGCTGAAATCATATGCGCAATCTGCCGCAATATACGCGATGGAAATGGTTCGCGACGATAATAATGTATGCAGTGATAACAAACGACACGTAGCCTGAAAGCACTCCAAATATTTTAGGCCGGAAACTAATTTATCAAGATTAGATTGCATCAAGATTTTGATTATATATCAATACATTGAGAGATCATCTTTGCATACACACACATACACAGACTACAGTTCTATTTAATATAAAAACAAACAAAAAAATTTCAAAAATTTTAGAATTTTTTCAGTATAATTTCCGTTAATATGTATATATTTAAAAACAACAAATATTATCTTGTTTTAAAACAAGATATCTTATCTATTGCACAAAGGAATATATATGTATACTTTAACTTAATTTAGTTGTTTTTTTTTCTTTTTTGGAGTGATTAAATCGGTGAAAATTTGTGATAATCTTTTACGTGTGTTTTTGAATTGCGGTCAATCATAGAATAAGTCAACATTTTGTGCAGCAATAACATATTATAAATACTCTGACCGCATATCGCTGATAGATTAAATCTTTATCATTTAAGTAAAATCAGCAACTTTTCTTCAAATTGTTTATTGCGAATATATATCAAATAAATCTTAAATGAATGTAGTTTGCATCGATCAGCACGTTAAAGAAGTTGCAAAGTCAGCTGGAAAATTTAAGAAAATAAAATTCTGTGAATCTACATTTTCACATTTTCTAGAATCGTTCAATTTTACAACACTACATAAATTTGCGTAATTAAGACTATCATCAATATTCATTAACGAATGATTAATGAAATGAAGTGAAGTTATGTAAAGAGTGAGTTAATTAGTTTAAATATTTTCATCAATTTTCTTTCATTCATCAACTTTGTTGTGCAATCGATATATATGCGATTAAACGATATTTTTATATCGGTTCGTCCCTCGTACATATTTATTCTCTAATCAGTAACTCGTGCAAGCTGAAGATAAAGTCCCGCATGTCTTCGCTATCTGTCGTCAATAATTTCGTTTTTTGCCTCCGTAATTTTATTGAAAGAAAGATATATACTCCTACACGCTTAATTTCAATCTTTGTTATTTTATTTTGAGAATAAAACGCACCATAGCGTAATCATAGCAATGTAGATGACAGCATCAAACAAATAATGTCCGTATATTTTTAACACAAAATTACACTTTCCGATGTTCAAAAAAAGATATTTTGTAAAGTATTTACACATATAAATCATATCACAAATAACAATAAAAAAGGAAAAATATAAAAATTTAAACTTCAAGATACCGATAAAATTATCAATCAATTTATCATTGATATAATCTTATATCAAATCAAAGTTATGTTTTAATATTAAAGCAGTTATATTTTTTTCAAGATTTAACTTTAATTTAACGTAAGTCACAACGGAACAATCTTATTCTACATGATGTCAGGGAT